TGGTTTGGGCCTGCTTTTGTTCAGCAGATGCAGGGACGATGGTTGAAATTGATGGGAAGATGGATGGAGCAAAAGACAGGACCATTCTGGAAGAAAACCTGTTGGATTCTGGAAAAGGCCTGAGACTGGGCCGGAGATTTATCTTCCAACTAGACAATGATCCAAAACAGAAAGCAACATGGTTCACAAATGAACATATCCAGGTGTTAGAATGGCCTAGTCAAAGCCCAGACCCGAATGATGAATCTCATCGCAGCTAAAGGTGGCACTAGAAGGTATTAACTCAAGTGGGCTCCAAAATTTCGCAAACCCAATTTTTTCAGTATTTTATTTGTTAAAAAAAAACTTTAAAACATCCAATAGATATTGCTGTTGAATTTTATTGCTGTTGATTCTTCACAAAAAGATGCCAATTTTATTTTTTTAAGTTTGAAGCCTGAAATGTGGCAAAAGTTCAAGTTTGATAGTATTTGATAGATGTTAAATCTCCAGGATAAAAAGTGCAACATTCAGATAAAAGCCGCTCAGCTGTAAAATGATTGGTTTGTGTAAAAACTTCAATGTATATCCAGATATCTGAAAACTGTCTTTACCTAAATAAAACATCTCCTAGTATGAATCTCGTTTTAATTGTGCTACTGATTGTATTTCCTGCATGAACTCTTGCAGTGCTATTTTGTTTCTTTTTGTTTTTATTCTGTATCTGGTGATTTCTAGCTGGAAATGGGATATAATGAGATTGGCAGTAGAGCTCAGGTGTTTTTATCACAGCAGCTGGATTGTTTAAGAGTCTCCTAAGCTGCCCAGCTGCTACCTGCATTGAAAGGCTGTAGGGTGAGAGGGAAGAAACAATGATTGAAATTCCAAAAAGCGCTCAATACCAACCAAGATTGTTTATTAGACAGGCGACACAATGTGGTACATAAGGCAGGATGATACGATGGATCAAGCTCTCTAGTTTGAAAATGTATTGAAACCAAAGCATATTAACAAAATGCATGTAGGGAATTAACACTGGGGATGTCAATTACATGCAAGTTCTGATGACTCTTTTTTTTTTTTCACATTGCAGCCAGGCAGTGAATTGTTCTGCGAAACCTGTAGGTGTGATGGGACTCTTTGTGGTCTGTTTGGTGGTAGCGTTCTTCCATCACAGTCACAGTGAAATGCATCCCTCCCTGTATGGGTCAAAAAGGTAAGTAAAACGTTCAATTCCATGTCTTTTTTTTCCTCTATTGTGTCCTAAATTCTAGTTTAATGCCTTCATGATTTCATAAATATTAACTTCAGCTCACATTCTGTGTTTTTTATCAAGTCCCTTAAATTGTTAAAACCAGGATATCTTTGTGTCTTTTGTATGAAAGAAATATTTTAATAAAATCTATGGCTCCTTCAGCATTCCTGAAGAACTTTGGAATTTAATTTAGATATTGAGTAGTACATAAAACATGAGGCTATATAGATTCACGATTTGTATACCCAGAATTTAACCCCTTTTCTGTTCCTTAATGTTCCATCCATCCACCTGGTTGTCTTCCAACCAGAACATATTTAAGGATGGGATTAACAGCCTTGTAAGTCATTTAGAAACTGACAAAACAGCAAATGCAGCTTAACGGATTTTTCAATAAAATATATTGTTGAAATGGAAAGAATTAATTAAAAAATAAATTAAACAATAAATTAATTAAACCTTTTCGTCCATTAGCTCCCAATTTTGGATTTATCTTTAAAGTGAAGAAAAGCTGAAAGATATTAACAGACCCTCATTGTAACACTTATCAGCATAACATGTTTTATAGGGGTGTGGGAAAAATTGACTTGGTGATATATCGTTATTTTCAACTTCCCAATATAATATTGATCTTTTAGTTCCTAATATCGATTTTAAAAACCCAAACATTTTTACTTAAAACACTGAGGGAAAATGGGCTCCTTCTGCACCGCCACTCTGGCAGTTAACGCTGTGGAGCGTTTTTGCTGTGCGGCGCAGCGCCATTTCTGTCTTTGAGGCAGTGACATTGTTATTTGCTGTTGAATTTTAATATTATAATAATATCAATATGTTGCATCACTGTACAATCATACAACTCATGTAACTGCTACAAAAAACGTGTTTAATAATAATAATGATAATAAAAGCAATTTGAGATTGAACCGTATTGAAAATAATTTAATCTACTGTAAAAAAGACCAGGGAAAAAAAAGAACAAACGTTCCCCTAACCCTTTGTAAAACTTATGTTTTAAAGAAAGGTCCACCCTACCATGGCACATGCTTATCTTGGCCATTAGAGGTTGAGAGGATTTTTCCTATATTCCTCAGTATGTGGTGAACTACTGGATCCAAATTCAGTAAAGTTCTTTATTTTTCATGGATTTTAATCAGGTGTCGATTGCAATATATAATGTTAATATTTAATGGCTACCATGCTAGCCTCGTGAGACCATCCTGATCTCGCGAGCTTTCAAGGTTTCACTCGCAGATCAG